TGATTAAACTTAACGTCTGGACGATTGTCTGCCATACTTAAAAATTGTGTGCGTTTTCATAATTACGCATTTTTTTAGGGACTGTTAATGAAATGTTAGAACTTATCTGATTACAAAAAACACATTTGGATGATGTTAATACAACATCAAATATTATTTATTCTATGTTAAATTACATATCACTAAGAATTTCGGCATATATGGCAAAATAAGTGTTGGTAGTATTGTTTATTCTTAAATTAATAAAAATTAGATGTTAATAATTATAAAATGTGTAGAAATGTTGGCTTTGCATTTTAAGGAAAGTAATAGATAATTCCAATTTAATGATTTGAACAAATTCTATATATTTTTATTGAAATCAAGTTGTAGGTTCAAAAAAAGTAGTTAATTAATAACTATTTACACATGCACAAAATGTGTTCTGAACTAATTAAAAGTTCCTTTATTATGATCTAACTACAAGGTATTTTTAATCTTGTTATGATTTTAATTTATAACAGTTAAACTAGATAGAATTGGTTATTTATTGATTGTTTTCTAGTCAGGTACCATCCTAATTATAATAATTCTTTGCCTAATGTTCAAAAGCATATTTTTTTATAATTAGCATTAAGCAGTAAGCACGTTTCAAGAAATATACTTTTAAAAGCAGTCTATGAGTATGTAGCTGCATAGTGGCATACTTCTTTTGATTTATTGTTGTTTTCCCAGACTGAATTTAAACAAAGATAATTGAGAGAATTTTTTTTATGTTTTGATTTATTCTTGTGATGTGTAAAAATAAATATGACATTGACCATGATTTTTATAGATCATACATTTTCAACACATTCTAATTAAATAATTTTCACTTTTCAATTTTAAACAAAATGTCATCTTAATATAATATATAAATTCATATATATATATAATATATTAATATTAAAATTGATTTTTAAATTTAATGATCTTTTTTCTAGGTTCTATGAATAAAAAATATGAATTCAGATTATAAGTGGAGAGAGCAAACATCATCAAGACTAAATGGGTCAAAAGCAAGAGATTCTGGTGAAAATGGATCTACTATTAATAACTTTGTTCGTAGACATCAACGCAATCTATCATTACCCATCAATAATGTCTTTCAGCCAACAACGGTAATGCCTTATTATAATCATAATTAAAATTATTTAAGTTTGCACTATTCATGAATACAAAATTTTAATTTTAGGCTAAAGCTGATACTGTGTCTATAACTACGATGTCTAATTCCAAAGGTAAGTTCATATGAATATATGTTTTAATTAAATTATAAAGAAACGTTTTTATTTTGTATATAGTATTTATTTGACATCAATATTGTATTGTATTAAAAGTATTGAAATGAAGTTAAAAAGAAATTATATTAAACCACTTTGTATTTTAAGAGTGTAATATAAGAATTTTATCTATAATTAATTTCAAAAAATAAACTGAAGGACTTTTAAAACCATTAATAAATTATTATTTTGATGTAATATGTTGGAATAAAAGTAACACTTTTTATTTTTGTAGGTAACGGAGTATCGTATTCTAGTCCAGTTCACAAAAATTACCAAGAATCCAATGACTGTGATGATTCCTCTTCCAATAGTGATACTGGTAGTACAGGTACTTATATTATTGAGAGAAATGATACATCTAACGATAACAAATCTGAACAATCGCCAGATTGTGATGATAGTGTGGATGATTTTAAGAAGTCAAATTCAATGGTCAAGGTAATTAATTAATTTTTTATATGAATTTAATTTTTGATTTACATTATATTTGTAATTGTTTCTTTAGAAACTACGGTCTAGTTGGGTCAATGAATGGCATTCAAAATTGAATCAAAACAAATCATCTCTTCCAAGCCCAATGCCTTTACTGAAATCAGGTGGAGTACTGTTTAAATTAAATTAAATAGCTCTCAATAATAATTTATGAAAAAAAATTTGTTTTTTTAGACATCAAACCTAATTCACCAATTTTAATGAAACACACGAGAAAATCAAATATCCCGTTGCCAAATGCATCTAGTATAAAAGATTTAAGTGTATGGTGCTTTGCTAGAATACTTGAATGAATACATTTAAACTTATATTTATACTTGCATGTCAAATATAAGTTATAAGTCATTAGACAAACAATTTTAAAATATCTGATTTTTATAGGAAAATAGTGTTAAAAGTATAAGCAGTGATGATGATACCAGATTGCTTTTAAAAGATGCTGAGAATTGTGTATCTATGCTAGAAGCTAAAGTTGAAAAAACTGGCCACACTACAATTCAATATAATCGAACTTTTAAGTATGAACCATTATTTTATTTTCAGTAAATATTGAAATTTTAACAAAGTATCTATTAAATGATTTTAGTTTGCGCCGTGATAGATTTGCAAAGCCGCAACAGGACACAAATAAAAAAAATTTAGACTCCAAGACTGCCAATGATAAATCTAACTTATACAAGCCTTCAAGCCAAAATTTAAGTTCATCACTGTCAAGAGTTGATTGTGGGCGTTATAGTTTAAGAACATCCAGAGTGCCTCAACCAAATTCAGTATGTGTGGTTATACTTATAATGAACATAGAATTAAACAATTTTATTTTTTATTATTTCAGTCACCACTGTTGTCTGCTCGCAAAAATTTATCATCTAAAAAAAAATGGAACTCTAGTATACTTTGCAACAAAGTTCAAACTCCAAATAAGGAAACAGAGTTGGAAAATTGGAAGCGACGTAAAAATTATGATCCATTAAAAGCAGCTGCACAAGGAAAGAAAAAAGACCATCAAAAACCGACATCATTTTCCAAAGAGTTAGTAATTTGTTTTGTATTTTATGTAAGCACTTTTCTTAAAATTAATTTTCAAATGCAGAAAAAGTGTTGAAAATGCTGGTAATCCAGTATTAAGATCAGCATCTTTTCATGGTCGAGATGGATTTTCTCAAGAGGATGATAGTGATGGGTGGGAACAAAAGAGTTTGCATTTCTATGATCATGTTGATGATTGGCATAAATTACCACAACCACCTGCTGTAAGTATATTTTAATAATTTTCTTATCTACTTTGATGTCTGTGATGTAGGATGGTTTGATTTTGGTTGATAATTTAGACATCCAGAGATCATTCACCTCCGCCATCCAAGAACGAAAATCTTTCTTCATCAGCAAATTCATCACTGGCTATGTTGCCTACCCTAGTTAGTTAATAATATTTTGTTAAGAGTTATTAAATAATAAAAATTGTCAAAAATATTTTATTGTATATTATGTTTATGTAGATATCGGCACATAATGGCTCACCTACATTTTTACACAAATCATTGTCTGCATTCAATAGCTCTACGAGCTCTTCTCTTGATGTCAGTTCAATGGTAAAGAGTAACTTAACATCCCTTGTATAGATATTGGTGTTTACATTGTATTTCACTTTTCAGCCAGATGCATTGTTTGACGACAAAGATACGTTAGATATGGTACAGTTATCGTATAAAGCCAAGAAACGTGGTATTGAACTTATGAAGAGAATAAGGTTTGTAATACTTAAACCACTGATAATATTACGGTTATAACTTATTACACTTGTAATAATGTAATTTGATTTTTGTTTTAGAAAAGAGTTACCAGAATATGATGATATAGTACTTACTAGGGGTATTGCAAGTATTGATATAATGGATGATTCATTCCATATTCCGATGAAATCATGGGGTATGTCAGTGTCGGCAACTAATGTTAACTGCGTTGATAATATATTCAGAAGTAAGAATTAATCAAGTTAAATAAAATTGTAAACCTGTGCCAGAATAAGAATGTGACCTGCATGTGGCAGATATATTTACATTAGTTATACACAACTAGTTTCTGATCAATTGTGTGTGTTACTTGAGTATGATGTATAATAATTATATGTATGCTCAGATTATTAATGGTAATGGCTGAGCTTGAGTTGATTAAATTGTTTTGTCCTAGTCCATGTGCACAATCGGGCATTTTCTAATTCCAGCACAGATATACATTCTTAATTTTAATTTTAACATTCAAGATCTATTTGATATACTGCTTATTTCTTCATCAAATGTTGTGTTCATTATTAATATTAATATCAAGTTATAAATGCGCTGCAAATGTGCTGTTTTAATATTCTATTTCAAATTCGGACAAAAAAGTTTATACTTTTTTGAATTAGATGGTAAAATACAATTGTAGAGTTTAACTAGAGTTTAGACAGAAACGAGAAGTGACCAAAAATGATAAAATATGCAATATATTCATTCAATTTTGTTCTAAGATAAAAAAAAAAAATCACAAAATACATTAAAAAAAATATGCAATATGCTGCAATTCACATGTGAACAATATGAACTAATTTAATAAGCTAAAAATGATCGAATATTAAATTACATGGAAATAATATTTACAAATTGTAATACAAGTTTTATATATTAATTATATATCTTCTATTTAGAAATGATTCTAATGATAAAAAAAGAACCATGTAATTTATCATTTGAGATCTACTTTTAACATTATAAGAAAGAAAAATATCTTGTATAAAATAAAATCAAATTTTGAATTTGAATTTGTATTTTAGTTTTTTTTAGACTTTAATACTTATAAAAATAATTTGATTTTTAGTACTTGAAAACATTTTATTCAGAGACAATGATAGCAGAGAAAATAATTCAGACAACTAATCTCCAAATATTTTCTTAAGTTAAGTTATTGTTTTTTTTTTTATTATTATTATGTTATATTACTGCAATGCCAAATTTACTGTGTGATAAAATACAATAGTGTAATATTATATTTTAAAATAATTGATATTAGTTTTAATGTATTTGTTAAACAATATACTTATTAAAAAAATATATAAATCATCAGTATTATTATGCTATGCAAACAATGGTGGTATTTTCTAGTTTTGTATTTTAAACTTTGTATTTTTAAGCATAATATAGAATATGTGCAATGTTAATATTATCCTATGAAATATATCACATATTGTGTTGCTTAATATTTGAATTTCTCACAGATTGCTGGTAATGTGATTCTTGGTGGCTTGTACAGAGGTTTGCTAAAATGATACATGTTATGATGGCGGCGGTATAGAATGAGTTGCTGATCTTGTTTTGAAACTGTTTGGACTTTGGTGTATTTGTGTTTAAGCATGATTAACGATTTGTAGATAACGTAAATTATCTCCACCAGGCTAACCAAACTGCAGCCAAGAAACAGACTTGCCATCCCACCAAATGTCACTAATAAAATGTAAAACAAGTATTTTGTTTATTTTCTGACAAGATATCTCAATGTTTGCACATACTACTGTAAAACATAGTATATCATATACTACAAAATACTATAATTTATTGTTAATGGCACATATTGATCAAATTAAATATTCAGAAACAATATTTAGAGATTTTAATCAGTTTGAATGACTCAATCAATTTGTATTAAGTTAATTTATTTAGGTATAAGATATATATGGATATTATATTTTTTACACACTGCATGGCTACATGCAGTTGCAGTATCTACCACAACATTTGAATTATAAAACCTGTTGAGTTTACCTAATAAATCCTGTGTAGTGTACTTCATGGACCTTAGGTAACTGATGGCAAATCTTTCTTTGTAGTGTACCTCGATGTGTGTATAGGCGTGTGGAAATTGTGTGTAAGCCAAGAAATCCCTAAAAGAACAAATATGATTTAAACACAGCAGTACCACAAAAATATATTTATACAGATAGGTTTAATATTTTCTCAGTATTTTCTTATACTTATCTAAATTGAACCGAAAAAAATTCTTTATCTCCAGAATCAAAACAGTAAATCTCTGGCTGTGCCTGGCTACTCATTTACCTACTTTGCATAGTTGCGGATTTCTGTTGTGTATCCAACAAACGAACACGGGTGCGGGCAACTGCAGTTCATAAAATCCTGTGCATTCCATTTGGGATATCCAATTTCTTCTTCTGAAACTTGAACGTTGCGTTGAAGCACTATAAAATGTAATCAACAGTTGTTAAGTTTGTTAACTTACCTCTGGTGTAAACTAGAAGGTAATTTGTAGATTTGCTGTGTGCCAAATTATATTTAAGTTTAAACTAGATGGACTACTGGGATATAAAAAATTATTATTTTTATGTTATTAAGTATTTGGTTATTTGAACTATAGAACAATATAAATGATGTGTTAATATTGTTTGATTTTTAACTATCCCATATTAAAGTTAAGTTTTATGTTTAACATTATGTATGTGTATAAAAAAACCGTATTCCAGTGATGAATTTATTTATACTTAATGTATTAAGTTTCTAACAATGATTTCAGATTTGTCTGTTTCTAATTTGTACACTTTTGAAGTATTGACTGCTTTAATGGATTCTGACAGTAAATTTGATCTAGTTGATACTTTAGACTCTAAAGTTTAGAGTGAAAAAGTGAAAAATGTCTATCTATTGTACTGAATAGGTAGGTACTTAGTAAATAATATGGAAAAACTAAAAGAAATTTGGAAAATCAAAATATTTTCATAATACCTACCAGATTTTGACAAAATCAATTTTGCTAGCTTGCTTATTATTTATTGGTTTATCTTAAATTTCAGTTATAGGTAGGTACCTATATATGTTTATGTGTTATTTTAAAAGTTACTTACATTATTTACTTTTTTTGTTTAGGTATTGATTTTAGTAGTGTACCCAAGATTTTTTTTTTGGTCTAATAATGTACAGTTATACAAATTTGTAGTTGCAGTAACTTTCAAACCATAGAAATAATTTTTAATTTTCTTAAAATTGTTTAGGGTGGCTCTATCATTCCATTGACTAAACCACTGATTAATTTATTAATTTTATTTCATTTGTCTGTTATAACAGATTACCTACTCATATTTAATATTTTCAAGTTCTGATTTAAAAAATAAAATGTGTACATAGATAGTTTGTCAATCATAAATCATATTGGTAATATAATACTAATAAGTAGATAGGTTACCTTTGATTTTGCTAAGACATTGTATGTGTTCAATTCCACAATGCTGCTTGCTCTCTGTATTCACAGAAATTGAATGTATAGTTCAGGCTCGTCATTTCATTTTATTAATTTTATGTGGCAAAATGTTTAAAAACCATTTTAAAATCATTACAAGGCCACAATATAATACACTCTAATATCGAGGCAGGTACCTAAATAGTTATAACTTTTACTCAGAACTTTGAAATTTTAATTGGGGGGATTGTAAACAAAAAATGTGTAAGTAAGATAGAAATAATATGTTTCAAGTTGTAACAAATTTGAAAACAAGAAAAAGTTATATAGGTATATTATGCTAACATACATTTTTAGTGGTGAAAATTTTTTTGTGCACATTCATTGCGCATTAAATGGATTTAAAAAAAATTATTAGGATTTTTGGGTTTTTTAAAAAATAGTTTTTATCACCAAATATGTATAATTATTTTGATATGTTTCATAATTGTTTTATTAGACATTATAAATTATATCAATCGTTAGTTTGAAACATTTGCAAAATTGTAATATTTTGCTTTACAGTTTGTAAAGTAGGGAAATATTCTTTTCAGATGGCTTACAAAATGTTGGAAACAAAATAGGTAAGATATTTTGAAACAATGAAGGTACTATACAATGTAACGATAAACAGGTACCTAAGATTATATGGTATGCTGATATGGTGAACTGAACTATCCAAGTATCTTAATTTGAATAAAGACTAAAGAGCTGACGTTCAGTAGAAGATTAAAGAAAATGAACATGAAGTAAACCTAAATGAAGTAAAATCTATATATATAATAGGTATCTATATAGGACAATAATATAGTGCTTATAAAGAATGCGTTCGTTTCGTTCACGTTCATACTTAGTGAAGAACACTAATTCAAATTAGTAAATAATTCATTTAAAAAAAATAATTTAATGAATGTGAACATGAAACTAAACGTGTTTAGTTTTGTAGTGAACTTCCCAAACACTGCAATAATACATAATTTCTATAATAAATATTCAATTATTGTATTATACCTTCGATGTCAAAGTAGTACGGCGTGCAATTGCACATTTTATAAGTAGTCTTCAGCCTGCACTCGCTGTAACAGTTGTCCTCTGCGTTGCTCCTAGACGTCGGAAAGTTCTTCGTCCTTGTCGTCCTCTCCTCGTACAGGAAACATTTGCGGTCCTTTTCTCCGAGCCGGCTTAGCGATTCGTCCGCCCGTATGTGACTCACGCTCACTGATATCCGCGAAGATTGGTTTAGTTCGCTGTACACTTTGTAGCTGCTTGAAATATCCGGGAAGTCCTCAGGCGTGTGTACCATTATCTACAAGCAAACCGGTAGGTACCTGTGTAGTCGGTCAACGTTATAGCTCAATAGCTGATTCAAGTGCGCCACTTGCAAGAAGAATTCGCACTTTTATTATTTTTTTTCACAAAGAATTGTTCATTATAATAATATTAAGTAACTAGGTACCGAAAAAAAAATTGTTAACTGACTAAAAAAAAAAAATTTAATTTCCGGTCAAGTGGCACTGCTGGAGTCTTCCTTTTATGTTAGTATGTCAAATTATGTATGTCAACACACTTACTCATTATACCTTGTCTCGTATAGATTGTAAATATATTTTTAAATAAAAAAAAAAAATACCTACCGATAAAACTATAAATGCTTTAAGACATTTGGATATAAATTTAAATTCGTTATAAAGGATGTACTTAAGATTGATCGTCTCACTTGTTTAAATGTCGAGTTTTATATTTTCTCTTATCCCCCTCAAATTTGATTTTAAATTGTAAAAATTTAAGAATTTTTAAACTTTGGTCATACGAGATTGAGAAAAAAAATCATTTAAAGGTCGGCAAGTGGATACCGTTTCTGCTGTATGGTAGGCTGCAGTAGGTTACAAGTGGGTGACTGTCATGAATGGTGTTGAATTTGAATTGAATGATATTATATTATTGTATACGACTATGCGTAAAGTGATTTATGTCGTTATAATTATTATAATGTTTTTAATTACTTAATTTTTTAATGATAACATGCAATTTCTTATTCTAAGCAGAATATTTTTTGTAGAACTTTGATGTATAAAAATCGAATATTGAACGAGTAAATAGTTATATCTTATAGATATAATGTATTGTCAAGTATGTTATATACTCTTATTGAATGAGCTATTATCTTTTTCAGCTCAACATTTAAAAAATCTTATTTCTTCAACTACTCATTGTAGGTACTTATTTCCTTTCTATGAATCTTTATATCTTATATGTAAGTACCTATCGTATTTCTTTGTGTTTAACGATGTAGCTGACATTGTAAAACATATTCTACAAAAATTAATTTTTTAAGAGGATGGCAGCTCAATATTTATTTAAATATGTCTCTCAGACCAATGCTCAACGCTTTTACCTAAAATCATTTTGTATGACTTTTTAGAAATTTTACGGCTCAGAGTAAAATCACGTACCAATTACAGCAGTTATAGAGGATAATATGTTTAAGAGTATGACAATACATACATTTTATATTTAATTATTTGATTTTGTATAAAACTCAAAATAAAATGTATATTTTCATTTTTGTTAATTTAAATTTTGTTTAAATTGTTATGAGACAATATTTAGACAAATCGATTTGTCATACCCTTGAAAATATTCTCTATCGTGTATATATTCAATATTGGGTGACTTTAAAATATCGTGTTTGATAATGTTTGTAAAATCTTATAAGATTACTCAAAAACATAAAAAAAATAATTCTGCATAAATGCCTTGTGTTTGTGTTGTGCGTGAGCCAGAGAGAGAAAACCGTGTGCCGACTTCCTCTTTTTCTTTCAATCTAATATTTTCTGGGTGAAGTTTCTTGTTTTGTACCTTCTACCTATAACCTACCCATAACCCTGAGCGATGTTGTCCATTATTATATTCAGCTGCTGATCATTCTCATTAGTCATTACGATTAAAGTCTACTATTTAATTATTTATAATTTACTCAGTGAAGAAAATATTTGACTGTCGTATCGTTAACTGTTAAGGTATCACTTATACTTACTGTATGGCTTACAATATACAATCGGTTGTATAATACTTAATGCATTAATATGTTTCAGAAAAATAATCAAGCGTGGATTACATTATGTTATACATTTCCTCAAAAGTGTATATTTCTCACTTGCACCGAATTAAAACAGAAAGTTACACTTTAGGAGGAAACGTCAGATTGTATCGTATGCCGTATACGTACCTAGGTATAAAAATAAAATATCGCGCTCATCGTCGCAACTTCGAGTTCTGAAAACGCTTTATTACCGTACATTGTATCCTTTGGACCTCTTGTCGTTCGGGAAGTATTCAGTGATCAAACTCTTCATGATTAACTCGAGACCCGTCATCTTCCCCGCAACGTTATTTCTAAGCGGCATCAGGCTGCCGTTTGGCTTGGCGATTGGCGGGTTGTAGTCACTGTCACTGAAAACAACAAAACAATCATATTATTATAATTTATAGATATAAACGTAGTTGTAGCTTAGTTTCTAAAAATTTTTATCTACTCTTCTGACTTATGTTATCCACTCTTTTTCAACGCCAAATCAGCTCACAACACTATACTAGTAGGAATAAGGAAAAAACCGAACTTTCATTACTCTTCGGCCTCGCTCTTCGCACAAACCGACAGAGAGACGACCGCACAGACAACTTCTGGCGCACAACTGCAGGCCAACCTTGGGGGTTAACAAAATAATTAATACTATCCGCAAAGTATTGCAAAACCGATTCATTTGTCGAAGTGCTCAGTACCTAAAAGTTGAACAACTTAATAGGTATATGACAATTAAAATATTGAAATATAAATTAAGTAATGAATATAAAATTGAAAGTAATTGTTGAATAGTTACATAACTATTATTTTGAGAATTCACTACGACCCAATAAGACTTCTGCCAATTACGTATTTTGCCGAAAAACTTTATGATACCTCAACTCACTACCTACTCCCAAGTCTGCAAATATCTAGGTCTTATTTCGGACAGAAGATTCAAGTCCTAACCTCAAGAACAAATTGAAGAAGCTAAATAGTAGACTTCATCTGCTAAGACCTTTACTCAGGTCTAATATCAATATTCTAAGTAATCTCATATACAAATATGAACTTACGATATCACTCTTTGGGGCACAGGCGCACAGCCAATAAAGCCAATACTCATACAATTCAAGATTTCCAGTCTATTTGTCTGAGGATCAAAGCTTAAGTATTTTGGTTTGTAACGATTAACGAACAAACTTCTCTTCGACCGCCTATAAATTAAAACCATTCGAGAAACAGCTATAGATTTTTACAAGAGGTTTCACACCACAAACTCCAAACAAACACCAAATGACTCATATCACAGCTAGCTTCGAAGACACTCCCGGACAATCTGTCATATGATAAGACAATTCAAGCGCAACTGGCGTAGAGACCTACTTAGGTAGGAACACCGCGATTTTTTTTTCAAACCATTCACAGTAATTTATAATTACATCAAACATACTAAATGTAGGTACTAGATATACATAAGTATAGTATAGTGTATATATACTTGGTACTCATCGAGTATAATACTCAATTACCTACAGCTCTTATACATAGGTATATATAATAAAAACTATTTTTTTTTATGTAAAAAACCTAGTTCGAAATATGTTTTAGATACTAAGCTGTGGATACACCTTGTATAATATTTTATATAAATGGTAGGTACCATATAACATAACTAGGTACATTATTGCCATCCACGATTGAAAAATAGCTCTCTATTTACCACCAGTAATCAAGTTTTCATAAGGATAAAATTATAATACCTATTATAATTTATAACCGTTTGTTTTTATGCTAAATTCGAATATAAATTGATAGCTACTTAGGCACCTTTTTGGCATAGTTATTATAAAGTGCTCGCTCGTCAGTCATCGATGCCAAAAAAAGTATACTTATTATAGTATTTTTGTTGGCTGGATGTTGGCAAATTATTGAACTGTAGGTATGCATTTAGAATTTTTGAATATACAAATCCCGGAACATAAATATAATGAGCCAATAATTTATAATATTATTGAAAAAATACAAATTCAACTTTGCACAGATGTTAACATATAGAGGTATTTTTAAACTCTTGCTAAATTGTTTTTATTAGTTGTTGAAGACTTATTTGTTAAATATTACACCTAGGTATAGAGTTTTAGCATTGTTTTACTTTTTTGTTTGTATCTCAATATCATAGAAGTATTGCTTGCAAGCTATAGTAAGCTTTTATTATTAAATAAGTAGGTAGGTGTAGGTATTGTGTACCTATACTTTCCGCAGTTTAAGAACAGCCTGTTGTATTTCTGTTATTTAAAAAAAAAATTGATATCGACATATTTGAATTAATTTATAAATGTTCCAATAAGTTTTTGAAAGTTAAGAATACAAATTCTTTAATTTGGTAAATATTTATAGTAGATGAAAAATTGTATTATCAACTTGTCGTTTAAAATAATATTCCCTGCCTATATAGGTAAGTGCATAATATGCATATAAGTGCTTGTTATACTTTGTACTTTACGATTTATATTTAAATATGTATTAGGTATCGAATAAATAAATAAAAAATCAATCTTAACTAGTAAAAAAACTTATCAAACTTTGAATCTGAATAATTGAATAAAGTCTCGAAATCCTATAGGTATAGGTATATACAATGGTTTAATGTTTATAAACATTAAACTGTACTAAAATGATCATAAACATTAATTCTGTATTATTGATTATGCACCAATAACATTCATGGTACCTAATGAGTGTTTGAATTAACTTTTTGTGAAAGTTATTTTTTTTTTTTGGATTAAGGCTTCAACTATTAAGGTCATTAGTCTGGTACTGTGTATGGGGTGGACGGTTGGTTGAATCAAGTTTGTATGTGTGGCAAGGAAGTGTTGCTAAAAATCCGGATGGTCACCCATCCGAGTGTTTGCAACGACGACCGGTACGTACGTTCAGAGCGTTGCCGCAGATGAAGCGTACGACCACGCCTCACCAATCCACTGAAAGCTATAATTGTTTATTATAAGTAAATAGTAAGTAAATAAATTATTTACTTGTAGAATTGTTTAAAATCTGTATTTTTATAAATATAATATATATTTTATATACCAACAGTAAGTACTAGGTATCTACTATGGGTATAATTTACATTTATATTTATATTTATATAACTAATGCATGCCGTAGTTACCTACATATTATATTATGGCTTACTGCTTTAACCTTACTGAATACGAATGGCATAAAATATATTACTAATAATATTACTATTAAGTATTAAAAATAGAATCTATAGGTATCTACTACATAATATAGACTATAGTCCAGGCACGTATCCAGAGCAAAGGTCTGTGGGGGGGGGGGCACAATTTGTTGATAATGTTAAATAACTAAATTGGAATCACTGTCCTACATGAACTAAGATAGAACTCTATACCCCCGAATGATAAGTAAAATTAGGAAAAAAATGTCTGGAGGGCCCTGGGCCCCTAGCTCCCCCTGGATCCGTCACTAAATTATAGTCTGTAATGAGTCCTCCGGTTTAGTGAACAATTTCAAAACTAAAATGATTACTTAAGTTCTCTACAGAAATGTTGTTTTTGATAATACATCACAACAGTGCATTTCATATTATATTAGAAATGTAAATAAAATATTGAATTAAGAGTAGGTACCTACCTACCTGCAGCTTTATATATTCATATTATAGGTATAGGTAAACAGTAGAGCTAATATAAGCGCATCGGTTGATTATAATTCACGAATCACACGAATAAGTTAATAACGAATGAATAAACAAAACAGAGATAACGAGCCCAATGGATTATTAGGTATATTATAATATTTAGTGGATATTCACTTTGTCATCCTTTCTGAAGTTTTGCTGTTGAACGAATAACAAAATCCTTCTTCGGTTCGTTGCAACCGTAATATATCCGTACAATTGTAACTGGTGCCTCTCCAATAGCACGAATCAAACACCTCATCAACAGTCGGCATAAGCTAAAATGCATCGTGATAGTGGATGATATTCATTATAATTTATTGTAGTGGGCAATGGCGTTTAAGTCATTTGCAAACTATTTATTATTTAATAAAACTATGTGAGACTAGTTACTTTCAACATGAGATCCTTGATATTGTCTACTGGTAGGTCGATAAGATTTGGATTAGTTTCAGCGAAAAATGGTAAATCTTTGTAGTACGGATACTGTATCATTTCCAGAATGTACAACGAGTTTTCGTATTTTTTTTTCAATTCCGGTTCATTTTCGTATTTACTGAAAAAATATCTGCAAGGTCATACTCGGTGGATTTTCTGGGTTACCTTTTTAATTGAGGTTCCTAGGTACATATTAGTATAATATTAAAGTCATATGTACATTATAATATTATACGGTTTCGCAAATAATATATTGTTATTGTTACCTGCTAGAAATATTTAAATATAAAAATTACTATTTGTAAAAAAAAAAAATTAACAAAAACAGATTGAAGGAGTTATAGCTGGCATTTATAATAAAAATTGGCGACTACAAAAAAATGCAGTGCCGTTCAAATGTGAATAATTGATTCATGTATTTTAGATTCTAATGTAACTTAGTTAAAAGTTACTTAATTTTTTAACCCGTTAATGAACACCTTTAACTTGAATACTTTAACTAACATATTGCATTCACAGAAAAACTCGCATGGTAGGTTTCTTTTTAGGTTCTAGTAGAATCTTACCATTCCCCTAATATTTATAATCGTGACGATCTATTTTTCTCTACCAGATTATATAGGTACCAAATTCTATCGGACGCGAATAGAACAAATGTCATGAAATAATACATATATGTTCTTAGTTTCTTACATATAAAACAAACATAATTTGTAATTTGTAATTTACAATTGTATTATGTGAGTAATAAGTGTAGAGATATTTAGGTAGGTACATAATAAAAAAAATATATTTAGTATATATATACCTCAGTAACAATATAAAATATACATAACACATTTAATTCATACCTTAAAATTAATCTTTTAGCCTTCGAATAAAGGATTTTGTTCATGGAACAAATAGTTACTGCCGGAAAGTCAATTTTGCTAAGCGGATATCGAGGATTGTCCACCACGATTTGCATAGACGAATACGAAAAAGATTTCCAAGAAGCATACAGATGCACAAGTATAGTGACGCTAGCAACTGCCATCAATACTGCCCACAAGAATCTATTAATATGAATAAAACAAAAAACAGAAAAATATTTTCAATAAAGTTATAATGACTGTAATAATATTTTCGTTGTTAATTTGTATCTTAGTTATACGATTTTAAATTTATAATCATAACGAATTTCCTCAAGATAATTTCGGTGCACTGTTTGTTTTTTCTACCCGCGGGCCCACGCACAACATAGACAAAACGAATTTATGCAGAATAGTTTTTTTTTTTATGTATTTAGGTTATTTTAGATTAAATCGCGCATTACGAAAATGATAGAGAATAATATTTTTGAGGGGGACGAGGTGACCGAGTGGTCTGACTCTTCCGCTGCGACGCAGCCGGTCGCGGTTCGATCCTCGGCCACCGGGCGGCATTTTTCTCCGGACAATTCGCGGTGACCGGAAAGCAAGTGCTGCCATCCCCCACCCCCGGGGCATGGCAGAAACCTACGGGTGCCCCATTCGAAATTCTGCCAAAACAAACACACACGTGTTCCCCCTACCGTTCCAAAAACCTACAAACCATCAATACAAAAAAACCTACAGTACCTACTAATAGCTAATGGCCTCAGTTGCCGGGCTCAGGATCAATTAAAAAAAAAAAAAAAAAATATTTTTGAAGGTATGACATATTGCAGTATTAACGATTTGTATAAATATTGTCTTAAATATTGCGCTGACATCCTCTTAACGGTCTTGCGGTACCTTTAGATATTAGTGCATTGTACAAATAAGTCACAAGTGTACATTAATATTCTAAACAGTTTTATCAAATATCTTGACTGTACATTGTAATCAGTCTTAAACTTGGTCATAATTCATAACCATAAATAATATCTTAAATCTTTAACCAGAGCGTGTTGTTGAAAACCCGTGATAGTTAAAAGGATAATTATTATGCATTAAATTAATCAATAATTGTAATAAAAAATTAATTTTAAAAGTCTTTTCAATATGTGAAATAGTCATGATGTTTGTATGTTACTAAATCTTACTTGGCCAATGGGGTTTCTCATAAATGTTTTGAGGAAACGAACCTTCACTCAAAGCAGAGATTGTAAAATTTTTTTTTATAAATACAGTATATATTATCAAATGAGACAATTAAGTCTTTTACAAATACAATTTTAAATGGGCTTCAAAATGTTCAATAATATTAATTATTGATGAACAAAATTTTAAAAATAATTTTAATTCTGTTTTTAAATCATTGAAGTCAATATTGTTGGTGTTGAAAATTTCTAAAATATCTTCATTTCTCTAAATTAAAGTTTCGCCTTGATTTTGTTTTTACTCTAGAATTACGAGATGAGATTAAATTCTGTTATCATATAGTGTATTATGATGGAAAATGGAAACAGTAAAAAATGTTTGATTAATCCATTCGTTTTTTATATAATTAATCGTTTAAAATATTACATTCTTTTCTCGATAAAATAATATTCTTACTTTAAATGCCTTTTCGATTATATTTTTCTAATTAATTTACAAAATACCAAGGTGGCAGTGGCCCCTTCTCGCCCCTCCAGTTTACTCTAATTTCAAGGCCATATCCAGAAATAGGTTGCAATAAAGATTAACCGTTGTAAAACACTATATTTTTGCAGTTTTGGGCGTTTTGGCATATTACGCTGTTTAGTTTACCGAGTAAATATAATACTAAATATAATATAAAAACGGAGATGTATACAATAAACTGCCGAGTACGAATACCATTATAAAGTAGACCAAATGCTTTTTTTTCACCATAATAGAGTCGTATACAGTTGGATATTATTTTATTTTAATAAATTAAAGTATATCTATACCTATACGACTATACCGGGTATACGTCTATATAATTATATATAGGTAATAACTAATAAGTACCTATGCCAAACTGAATGCATTTAATATACTAACCTACTAACATTGGAGTTCACATATTATATCTATGTCGACAAATAATCCGATTGGGCTGAAATAATTGTTAGCTTGGACGAATACGATCGTTATTACAAAATTGCAGTTCTCAGTTCTTACCTCTCCCAAGGAGTCGCATCCTTGTGAACGACATACCGGAGACCGTGTAATGAACTCTTTTCACAATAATCGCTCCAGAACGTTTTTACAGACTTCATGACGACAGAACTTAACAATAAATCGTTGGTTAGAAACGACGTCTCAACAAGTGATAACCTTTATGTTCTACGATAATGCGAAACCATACATTATTAATTGTGAGAGGTATAGGTACCTACTGAAGTTAAATAAAAACATCATCGTTGGTTGCAGACCATTATAACGGAAACGAAATAATATGTTTCAGTATATTAATAAAATATTAATATAGCTCATATAGGTACTCGTAAATTATACATGATTATTTTGTTTGACGTTATGAAAAGAAAATATAATTATAGCGATTATGATTATTAAAATCAGATATGATTGCTAGTGCTGTGTTAAACTATTACATTGATTCTTTCGACGATGGTCGAGTTTAACCCTACGTATTTGGGGCGTATACAAACAAACACTTTTGTGGCAGTCTTATTCAGGTGTTTTTCCTTTGAATCTGATATGTCCATTGCCCACGGTATACAATAAACCTAAACTGACGTTTATAAGGTTCACATTTGTTTGACATCCTGGTTAAAATAATAGTGAATTTTGGATGGTATTAAATTGTTATTAATGTGTGTAAACTGTAAATAGAAAAGACAACGATTAAATGAACGGCAAATTTATAAAAAAATTCTTTATCGATGGACACTATCCGTGGTTTTCCTAAGTACCTACTTGGTTGATACAATATTATCAATATTAATATATTATACTATATGTCTACTTAGGTATTTCTCGTACATAAACCTTCCTATAGGAAACCTAACCTATGACTTACTCATACCCGAAGTAATGCCGTCAGTGTATCTGATAAAACGCTTTCACCTCGTTTTCAAGATGTTATAATGTCATGACTCAAGATGAGTTATGCTAGGTAACGTGACCTATTACAAACTTATTGAAGAAAATATTTTTAACCCTACAATGCATGATTTTTTTTATTATTATTATTATTTTCTTACTATCTTACTATCTTACTATCTTCGTGTAACTCTTAATTAGAGAAAAAAAAAATTTTTGACATTTTAAGTCCCCCAAAATAAAGACATTAAGTTTGTTGCCTGTGAGCAACACTATGCATTCGAAGTTCTCTACAGACTACAATTAATGAATAAAAAAACCATAACACAATGAAATAAAATTCAAATAATATTATAAATTATAATAGAAAAAATAAAAATAAATTATACAGCTCTTGTATAATAAAAACAAAATAAAACAAAAACTATCTGTATATAGAAACAATTTAAAACAAGTCATATTACTTATTATGATAGTAAAAAATTAAAAACGTACCAAACATAAATTGGATAGGGAAATATTATTCACCAATAAACTCATAATATGAGAAATAACCAATAGAATTATAACAATGTAAATACAACTTTTAAATAGCTAAAATAATAATAAAAAGAAATAAAAGTCAAAATAATATGAATGTTTTTCTATTTTGTATGATAATTTGTAAAACAAACTACTTTTTCCACAGCATAAACTTATGTCACATTTACTACATTTGATCCAAGTGTAACTATCACAACCTGGCATTTTACACCTGGTTTTTGTAGTTCTATCAATTGGCCAGTGTTGAATTCCATCAAGTCTTACATCTTTAGTCGGTGCTACTTCTCCTTTTTTTGTTCCTAATTTTTTTTTTTTGTTCAATATTATTTTCAATTTCCCTCCGTTTTGGTGTTATAACTTGTCCATCTTTACACAAAGATATTGCTAAGTCTTTTCTAAATTGCACTAAAGTCATTGACTTATTTTCACCTTTGTTATTTTTTACCCTTATTTTGTATTTTAGATTAATAACTACCTTGGATTAGCTAGGCACTAACGTTATACTTCTGTAGGTAATATCTTTGTCTTATATTTGTGTTACGACACAAAAATAATTCACAAAATACTTTTATTATAAAATGTATTGCTTAGTTGTAATAGCTTACAAGTCATAATGTAAAGGTGTAAAGCAATTCGGAGATTTCAATTTTCTTCATTACGAGGTGTAACGGAATGACCCGAGCAAATGACTGCTGTCCTAAATTCTAATCAATATTTAAATAGTTCGATACTTCAATATTTATATACGCTTGAGTTATTTACAACATTTAATTTGTATTCATAATTTATAAGTGCCTGCGATACAAGTACAGTTTATATTATTTTTTATTTTTAATACTGAAAATCAAAAAATTTAAATTGTAGATCATATTTATAATTGGGAAAATTCAAAATAGCCAATTTGTAAATCAAATTTTTTAGAACAAATTTGATGGTAAAATTGTTTATTTAAATAAAGTAGTTTAAACTTTAATAGATACAATTTGTTCAAATACCAATATATTTTTAAAATGTAATTAATTTGAAACTCAATGACTTTTATTGAAGTATTCTTTTAGGGAATTTCGAAACATAAGTATATTTATTAAATTATTTATTAAGTATTCATAAAATTTTCATAATTGCAGTCATATTATATTTAACAATAAAATAATTTTTTAGTTTTATTTGGTAGGTATTTCTGTTACATGCTGAATACTATTATAGTATAAAGTATACCTATTATAATGATGATATTATTACAATAAAATAATAATAACTATTATTTATTACATTTAAAAAAAAATAACAGTGCAATCGCCAATCAACTACGAAATATTAAATAATTATTTTGTCTTAAAGAATTTACCCTTCATTAATTCATTACACAGTAGGTGCTATATAATATCCCCCCCCCCCCCCAGAAAGCAGATTAATATAGATATTTTGAAAATATTATCATTAGATACTTCCGTAGCATATAGGTAGTAAATAACAATATTAAAACCAACGAATAATAATAATCATAATTTTTTATACGAATGCGGCGCAACGTGAAATGGTTGTTAGATAACCCGAAGAAAAGAACACTAAATACTTAGTCCAAAGACTTGAAAACTGGATTCTAAGCGCAAAATAATTTAGCATAGACAAATTTGATTAAATTAAATTAAATTCATATTCAAATGTTGAATACTGTTACATTTCGGCTTACTTATAACATTTACGCTTTATTTTGTTCCAAACATAATATTTATTACATTAATATATTATGTAACTTTGTATAATAGTGAATGTGGATTTATTTTCCTCTAATATTTAGGACTTTTTTTCAATTACTTTTTATATATTATTCAATAACATTTTTTGATATTATAGTATCCATTTTGATAGCAATAATACATCCTTTCTTTAGTATAGGTATTAAAAACTAATATAAATTATTTTAAGTGATAATATATTAATTCGTTTTTAAAACGTATTTGTAAATGTCAACACTAGTCCACAGATATTTGATAATACAAATAGTTTATTACTGTACAAATCTGTGAACTAAGTTGTAGAACTCGAAAAATAAAAATGAAAAAGTTTAAGAGATCCACCCGAGAATTAATATATAGTTACACTGGACCATACTGTAAATAATAACTAATTATAACTGTATTAAACATTTTACAAATTAACTCAAGTAAATAGTGTTCTAATTATGCCAATAACTTGAAAATAGCACTTAAGATACTACAATTTTGAATTGATTAAATAAAAAAATAAAAATTGATTTTGTTAATAAATCTGGGTTTGCGAATAAATTTCCGTTTTTCTTATATTTTTCTATTATTCTAATACTTTCATTTTAACCTCTCCAGATTACCATCTAGATACAATTTGATACCAGAAACCACTCTCTAGGTGGAAGATCCATGTAATTTTCCAATTATATAAAACTGTAGTGATTAATACATGGTGAATAAATACATTAATCGCTCAGCTTAGAACCTAAAAACACCTTAAATAATCATTGTAAAACTATATCATGCTATGAGTACCGGTGGGTAGAATTCAAAATACCCATTTTCTAAATCTTCTTAATATATTCTTCTTTGTTTTCTGAATTTGGAACGAATCATAGGGTGATCAAATATGTTAGTTGGGTAGGTATTATAATACATATTTAATGTGCCGTTTCGTGGTTGGCTATTGTGGACACTTGATTATTAGATATAAATATTGAATGCACAATCATGACTAAATTATGGTTCAGAACAAAATGCTTTAAAATCAGTGGTGGTAAATGGGTGTAGAGGAGGGTATAGATCTCCACGTGACCTTTTCTTTAATGTTTAATATCTGATAACAATCAATTATATTTTTAATAACCAAATAGTAGGCACACGTTGAAAATTCAGCCATATCCCCCTCACAACAAAATCTATTGACCGCCACTGTTTAAAATATAGATGTGATTATGATTTTCAAAAGAGACAAATATGTTCTTATCCACAAAATTATTTTGTCATGTTATGTTTATGATGAAATATGCACTAAGACACCAACATAAAGAATCCGCTTTTCAAAACTGAAAATGTCATAAAAACTAAAACTAGAAAAATATGAACAAAAAACTTGTGTTATTTTACTAGATATTTAATGTAATTGATTTGTACTGCTCCTAATAAACCAACAAAAATGTGTAATTGTATCAATAAATAAAAAGTTTAATCATAATGTATTTTCGATTTGTTCGAACAATTTGCTATTCACTCTTATACTATATTATAATCATCATCTCTTAATCATAATTGAACCATGATATTAACTTCAACAAATGTATGCTTATAATAATATTACGTGTTAGTAAGATTATATTTTTAAATTTCGAATTATAAATAGGTTATAATAAATTAATGGTTTAATCTAAAATACTTTTTTTTCTAAAATAGGAGTAAATAGTATTTTTGAACTATTTATATAGCCATAAAAAATGTTCGTTTTAAATTACTGTCGATCAATAATTTTTTGCCGAATTAAAAAAAACTTGAAGATGTAATAAAAGGTCCACATAAATTGTTAATAATGAATTTAAAAAAAAAAGGTTATTCTAAGTCCTCAATAATTTTTTATGATTGAGGTTAGAATTTTGAAGAAATTTATCAAAATTGAGAAAATGTACCTACTATTTTTCAGTTAAAAATTAACAAAAATGTTTGTTTTTAAACCTTAAGTTTAAAAATTGAATAGAAGATTATTCATAAGTTTTTCTGCTTTCAACAATAAAAAACGTTTACCGGGAAGTTACATTAATTTATTATGAACATTCAATTTAATATGTATTCACAACAGGATAAATATTTATTCACCGATACATTAACGAATTCCATCAATTGATTTTTGATATTTTGTTGTAATTAAAAAGAAATTACAGTATTCATCACTATATTGAAATATTCATAACAATAAATTTTTATATTAAATTTTCTAAGCATGATAGTACAATTATTTTGTTATTTTGTTTAGAAGCGTCATTGTGGGGGGGGGGAAGGGTGTGCAAAGGCACCACTAATTTATAAAATGTTCACAATTGGCCCGCCATTAATACTCCAACGCGCCGTCATAATTAACTTATACATTATGATTTCTTATATAGGTAATATAAATGAAATATATATAGTTTTCAAGTTTATGTAAATCTTCGGTTTATCAGGTTTATTAAATATACTTTATTCGCTTTTTTTCAAACAATAGAGCAATGGCTTTAGCTGGTTGCTTTAATTGCTTAAAACTTATAAGCTTTTAATTCTTTGAATTTCTAGCTATTTAAAAGTTGAATTAATCGTTATGAGTTTCATTTCGAATTATAAAAGGGAAGGAAAGAATATTTACATAGGTTTGAGAAGGTTACCAACATTTATTTTTTTTAATGGCCTGGTGAAATGTCAAAATTAGCTTGCTTAAAAGTTTACACATCCAGAAAAAATACTGAAATTACGCCCTTGATTTTGTTGTTTTTTAAAAATTGTATTCGTTATTACTTAAGCCTTCAAAGTATATACAGTTAAATATTTTCGGTAAGATTAATTCAATCTACTGTTGGAATAAATTTCATTAATAGGTAGCAATAATAAAGTAAAATATACCCAGGTCCAGACGTACATGCAGTAATATAAAAAAATAGGTTGACAGACTTTTAACGGAATCGTTTTTCGTACACAATGACTTTATATCATTCAATTCAATTTTAAGTATTAAACAATTACAGCAAGTGTGCAGTAAATCAGTACCCACTTGACTCTCGATGAAAATATTATATTTCTCACTTGTTAGGTCTCCCTTAGAATTTAGTTCTACGGTTTGGTCACCATAAAATGTACAGTATAAATTTCTTAAATTGACCTGTAGTAAATTAAATTCAACTGTTGACCGAGACTCATATCAATTTCAGTCAATCCATCTGGGTGTGCTTTATGTGAAATCAGAAGAAGTGTCGCAGACTTGATGTTTTTATATGACTTACTGAACGGTAACGTTGAATAAGTCGTTGATTCCTTAGAGCTTATTTTCATGGTTGGTTTTAACTTTGGAAATCACGGTACGAGGTCACAAAATCTATTCGTAGTCCTATCTCATACCACCAATTATAGTTCCGCATTTTTTCCCAGAGTACTTACTCTGGCTAAAAGTGTTGCTAATAAAATCGACTTTTTTTTATGTCACGCAGTTTTCAAATATAATGTTTATATAGCATTAAGTTCTGCAGTAAATTAATTTTTAATTTGATCAATTACTTTCTTCTTTTTATTTGTATCTTCTCTGTATCATGTTTTTCTTTTTTGTTATTTTGTCTTGTAACTGTATTTTTATTGTTCTAGTCTCAACATTTGTTTCTTATTTATTTTTTTTGATGAAAATGTATATGTATCATATTAAGTATTCACTACTATTGTCTATTTGTAAGTTTAGCGTTGTAACTTATTATTTACACTGTATTATTATCAAAATCTTCTAAAGGGTCCTTACCAGTTTATTAAAAATAAAATCAATCAGAAAACTGGACAATATAAATAAAATGCGCTTTATGTCTCTATAGTCTATATATTGTACAATTAAACGATTCACACTTTGTAAGTTTCAATTTATATTAATTTAAAACCGAAATCATGATTTTTTCTTAAGACATATCTTTTACTAGCATATTTGCAAATCTTTGGTGCATATAGATAGTTATTTTTTAGTGCGTATAATTTTAAGTCTTAATAATTAAGATCGCTTATATGGAACAGTTGCATCTCGTCAAGCTGGGTTATTGTTTAACTTGTAGTTGTTGTAGAGTTTTTTGGCAAGCACCAAGACTGACTTGTAGATCACGTAAAGGATTTCCACTATACTGACTAGGCTGCAACCCAGAAACAGACTGGCTACTCCACCAAACGACACTGTTGAACATAAAATTGTTTGTTATTATTATTTATTATATCGTATCCAAAATAACGATTACGCTACTTCAGTCTAATATAATTCGTTCAAAACTTTTGATGCCGAATTAATTTTAAAAAGTAAAAGATGTTTATGTTCACAAAAAAAAAATTAAAAATATAACGGTATCTATTCTAGTTTACCTACTAAAATACATACCCAACAAATCTTGAGTGGTATACCTCATGGACCGACGATAGCTTGTAGCATACAGTTCTCTGTAATTGACTTCCAGGAGTACATCGTATCTCGAAGACGACGGTTCTTTATGAATTAACTGTCTAAAAAAATTAAGTTATATTGTTTAGATTTGCGTCTATATGGGAAAGTTTTATTTAGTGATATACCGCGTCCACACACAATGCATTACATATTTTGGGTTATGTGGACGTGTAGTAGGGGCTATGGAGAACAAAATTGCTCTGGTTAAGTTATGAGGTAGGAAAGTATCTGGAACTTTAATTGGGGTATCAAGGGAGAAGCATCTTACTTCCATGTCCTTGGTTCAACTCCTTATTCCCTCTATTAAGCAATTCCTAAGTACACTTCTGCTCTTAAGATTAAAATGATTTTTAGTAAAATACTAAAATGTGGTAGGGTTGTAATAATTACACCTAATATTGTATAATAACACTTTCGCTGTAGGGAATATATCATAGTTTCTGTCACAATATTTTGATATTATATTATTACAAACTATGTTTTTCATTATTATATAGTAATTATTAATATAACAATACGTAACTAGACCTTTGAATCCAACTAAAATTATTTTTTAGTACATTTATGACCTTTTTTTATAGCATTAGGTACTTATAAATCTTAAAATTCATATTATTCTATATAGGTTATGTTTTATCCCTGTATTTACCTACCGTATACTATACTGTATATATATACACAGAACGATGTTTATTTGAGCTCACTATTAATTTTTTTGTAAGTCTCCTATATATATATTGTATTGGGAAATTTAATTTATTTTTAAACATAATATGTAGGTATTTTATTATTGACCTACACAAAATATTTACTATGCAATAATCATTGTGGATAATATTCAAACGTGCGTACATACTAAGGTGCCTAAGGTGTGTAAATGCTTATAACTTATAACATATCACCTAAATTATTATGAGTTATTAATAATAATTAAATATTAAAGCACATCGATGATAGGTATTACCTAATTTCATACCGGAGCTCGGTTGTATACGTAATAAACGAACAAGGCGGTCTGCAACTGCAATTCATGGAAAATGGTATGCTCCATTCGGGAAACCCTGGTTCATCTTCCGTGATTTTGGGGTTGCGTTGAAGTACTAAATAACGAACAATATCGTTACTGTAGTGTGCCATTATAGATTAATATTATATTGATATTAAGTTTTTAGTAATTATTATCAAATATTCAAATAGGTATAGGTTTTGATACTAAGATTGTGATTATTGTATTGAATTTCATCAAAGGTACCTACATTGACAATTCATTATTTAATTTAATACATATTTTATAATATCCAAAATAGTCTTGACTTATTAAAATGTATTTCTAATATCATATTACAATTAATACTTAATATACACCTAGGTAAGTTATCGTTTTGTATTTGAACTTAAGCTTTTAGAATTAATGTCTTAATCGTTTGATTAAAATATATTGGTTTATAACATGATTATAGGTCCATATCATATAACTATAATTATTAATAGTTGATACTTAATAATTTCGTAAGATTTATGCCCTTACTATCGTTCGCAATCAAACAAGGTATGTGTTCAATTCCACAATGGCTTCCGAGACCTATGTAAAACAACAACCATACAAATATTAAAAATTAATTTACATAACATGTAACTATTAAGTAATCTAAAGTGTTTAATACGTTTTTTTACTGGGTTGTATTTGAATGAAAAACCAAAAACACCAGAATTAGATCGTATCTCACCACTACTAGGGCTTCTATAGGGGCGGTTGCATAAGCGTATGGGACGGAAGGCGGTCGTAATGGACAATCAAGACATTGAAAAGTATCAACTAGTTTTGTTTGTTTATTTCAATACATTTTCAGTTTACATTTATTGTTCTTTGTTTAATTTGGAGTTATTTATAATTAGGCATTGTACCATGCTATATTTTTTTTTAATCGGATCTGAATACGATTACCGCGTAACTTACGATTTACCCGAGTTCAGGGTGTGTACAAATGAGTGACGTATCTAATGGCGGTATTAGGGGGTTTTGACACCCCTCCCCCAGCCACCCTTAAGCCATGTAATATCAAATTAATACATACATCGAACTATAAAGGAATATTTATTTTATTTTATACTTCAATAAGTGTCAAAATATTTTGAAAATAATTCCATAAATTGAAAGTACTAGTATAGTTATTTATTATAGTAGTATAGATATTTTTTTTATGATTTTCACGTCTAAACATCGTTAACAATTCACTGCACCTTTGTACAATTTGAAAAAGTACTGTGTACAGTTGCACGCCTCGTAGATGGCCCTCATCCTACACTTGATGAAACACGTGTCTTCATTGCTGCTCTTGTGAAGCAATGAGTTGAGATTCTTCGCCTTTGCTTTGTACAAGTAACACTGGCTGTTCTGACTGTCAAGACGGTCGAGCGATTCGTCTGCTTCTACTTGGGCCGCGCTCACCGATATCAGAGTGATGCGATCGCGTACGGCGTGAATCTTGTAGGCGGTCGCCACGTCCGGAAAGCCATCAGGAGGGTGTACCATCACCTGTTCGGGAAAAATACAGTGAAGAAAGCTCTTTTTACACCTTCATTATTCTGGCCCTGTTTAAAAGTCAACTTACATCTACCAATATTACTAAGGTAAAGCGCGCACAAAATAATTGCGCAAATACAGAATTTATTTAGGAGAAACGGTTGTTTAGCTCGTTACCATTAAAATGTTTATGGCGTAGATTATAATATTCACTCGCCCAACGAACATTTTTTTTTATGAAAAGTATGTCATTTTTAATGAATAAAATATGTTTGTACGTTTAGGTACACATTTAAGAGGACGCCACACCCTCATGTGTTGTCTTCGTCTAACAAATGTACAACATAGCAAAAACTGTTTTGCGCTGGACAACTTTTATTTTTTCGTATTTTTTATAATGGCTCCAAAGTTTCTGAACATATAGCGTAGAAAATTATCTATGTAACAGCGTGCATATATTTTAGATAACATAAATACAATAAAATTAATTTGCTTAGTTATTTACTTCTAAACATTTTGTTTTTATATTTTTTTTTCATTTGCTTAGAAAAAATGATTTTATAGTGTAAATGTATAATTATAAAAAAGCACGCTGTTACACAGATTAAGTTCTTCTTTACGTGTTGTGAAGATTGGATAATTCTACAGCAAATATGGTGCGAGAAAAGTTGTCCCACGCAAAACAGTTTTTATTATGTTGTACATATTTTGTTAGACAGAAAACACATACGGGTGCTCTTAAGGGGTGATTTGATAATATTATTAATATTGAATAGAACTATGTAAGAAGTAAGGATAATACTAAGGCAGTAAGACAGATATCAAATAACTTCTTTACTAAATAAAATACAACAAGATTTAATCACAATTCAGGTTTAGTTTGAAACATTTTTCAATTCAAACGTTCAACGCGGCACTGGTACCTATATTTAAAAGTTCCAAATATCAGAATTTGAATTTATGTTTAATTTAAACATAAAAATAGGGATAGTATGCTTAAAAAATCACTCTATAGGTTTGTGTAATTGGTTTACGGGCCTATAAGTGCCTATTATAACTTATAAGCCATTGTTTTTTATATATTATACTACGCCATGAGGTGGAAAAAAGTATTATTCTATATTTCTATTATAGACCAAATTGTTTGTTATAGGCTATAACTTATACCTATATTGAGCCACCGGACAATTGTTTTTATATTGTGCATTAGGCAGTTTTTTCGATGTTGTGCCAACCTTCTACTGTTTATTTTAAATATTAAATTGTGATAGTTTACCATCGAGCTAGATGGTATTATTTATATTTTATATAGTAGGTCAAAAGTGATTAATTGTTCAAGAAAAATATAATGTCTTAAATATTTCATACAACAATTATAACCAAATATAAATTGAATATTCTGTGTCATGAAGGTACTCAAATATAGCATTCACGTATTCCAACTTACGTTAAAGCCTCTCCTGCGATTGTCAGTGGGAAAAAATTCGTGGCTCATGTTGCTCATGATTAATTTTAGTCCGGTCTCTTTGCCTGCGGCGTTGTTTCGAAGTGGAATGAGTACTCCATCCGGCCCAACAAACGGTGGATTAAAATTACTTTCGTTACTATAATAACATGATAATTTTTATTGTTTGTGAGCAAACGATGGAATAAAAAAAGGACTAATCGTTGATATTATCTATGCCATTAATTGGTGATTTAATTGTTCCAAGATTAGCACCTATTAATATCTGGGTAGACAATCACACGCTTGATATTTCTACATATAGACTTGACTTGGCGTGGATAGGCCCCTTCAATGAAAAAAACGACCAAACCAAGTACAGCAGTACTAGTACCACTAAAGAAGAAAGGAATGTGGACTTATGGACAAATCTTAGATTTATGAGACAACTTTGAATTTCGGTGATAGCACAACTCGTCACTAATTTTGATGGTTATACACTCTTGAATCATCTATACACAAAAAATTCACTAGCTAGAGTGCTCTTGACTTTTAATACCAATAATAATAATAAAGACTTTGCGTAGCTATATTAGCTTTATTTATTGTTGTTTATTGTTGTGTTGTAATGGCTATAAGAGAAAAAATTCACATAACAATAATTTTAAAAAAAGTAGCTGCTAGGGAATATGACAACGGCGACGATGTAATTATGATGATCATGATGATAATAATAATTATAAAGAAGTTGTAAATCATTTAATACATCGAGAAAAAAGGCCTCCAAGAGATTGGGAGTGAACAAAGCTGCCTATCACGGGGTTAATAATTACACCCATATTTATATATAGTTTACAGTCGCTGCACATTTAGTTGTAACTCATAGCCTGGAATTAATTATTTTGCATATTGCATAATTTAGGTAGTGGTACCTACCTTGTACTCCTCTCAGCAGTTTGGCTGTTGAATGAATAACAAAACCCTTCTTCGGTACGTTGAAACCGCAGGATATCTTTGCATTTGTACGTTACGCCTCTCCAAAAGCATTTTATGAATATGTCATCTATGGATGGTGCCAACTATATGTTGTAATACATTTTTTTCAATGTGTTAGAACGCACAAATCAAAAAATTAAAAATTAAACTTAAAAGACGATGAGAATCACTGTATGCGCCTTCATTATCTACTACTAGAAGTTTGAGTGATTAAGAGGGGGGGGGGCAGGGCAAAGCTTCAACTAGTCACGATTTAAGAAAATGTATGAAGGATCATAATATCATAATCAAATCATAAAAGAGTAAAATGTAATTTATAATCGTTTTTCTGAGCCTGTGCGAAATGTTCCAACATTATTGAGACTCACATAGTCACTTGTATACGAAAAGAACACGACAGATGTATCCAAGTAGTATCTTTAAACTATGTTCGTTTTTTACCTACCCCCTCAAGGGTGAACGATAAAAAAAAATTCGGAGAGGAAAATATGATTTATATTTTAAGATATTTTTTGTCGTCACCACTTGGTAATCAGTATACATAGTGATATCGGTCACGGGGGAGTAGCTGGTTACACAAACACACGATAATCGTATTGTTATTTTTGTTTTAATTATTATTGTCTTGTGAGTTATATAATGTGTAGATTAGCAGCGCCCTATCGCACATCTCCGAGCCGGCTCCGCGATTAAATTTTAACACGGCCGCCATGATCCAGTAATAGTTCTCTCTACGTGGTCGCGGCAATACCGACCCGAGAAGTTCGCAAATTGCTGTTTTCTTTTAAATTATATCTTTTTTGCCGTCCGCGAATCGTCGGTTATTTAATATTATATTGAATTGTCATCGTAGTGGCGCTAATAGTTTTTTTAATATCGTTTTTAATCGTCGTGGCACAGATCGCCACCAGAGATTTACACTTAATTTTCAGTGCGCGAATCGCCGTGTTTTTCATATATTTTATACTTTTTACCGAGGCGCATATCACCGGTATTTTTAATTTTATCTTATTTTTCGTGATGCAAATTTGTCATTAATAATATTATAAATTATTATATCGTGGACGCGAATCGCTTCAAATTATTATATAGTTTGGTTTTTTTTGTATTATTATTTACCAGGCACGTTTGCCTGTTATACATATTTATATTTTATTAATGTTTAGGCGCTAATCGAAAATTATTATAATATGGTTTTGTGAGTGTTATTATTATTATTATAACATAAGTACAGCCAGTACAGGACCAGCAGGCCAGTCAGCGCTCCACAAATTGTGAGTTATTTTTATTATTATTATTACATTTACCTATTCCCTATTTGAGTTGTTAAGCCTAAAGGGCCATATATTTTATTATTAATATTTGTGTCAGAAAGACCATATTATTTGTATATTATACTTATTTATACAGCTCTAATAGCTGCCTTTAGCAAATTTATAATTTATTCTGTTTGACCATAAGGGCCATAAGGGCCTTCTATAATATTACTATTTTTTCCTGTTGGACCAGAAGGGCCATATCGTATTATAATTCTATTCTGTTGAGCTAGAAGGGCTGTGAATTATTTATGCATTTTTATACCATTATTGTGTTGCTGTGATTTATTATATTATTTATTGTATATTAAAAAGCATCTCATTTTTACCAGCAAGCGTGTTACCATTTTTTTTTTTATATGTTTAATTTTATGCACACACACATAACACACATTAGACACAAATACACTTAACTATACAACATGCACTACGTAGCTCGACAGTATTTGCCCGGCAACCCCACCACTACTTAACTGTTCGAGGTATCACAACACTACACACCCAGCTAGTCCTCCACATATTTAGACACTAGGTGGCTAGGTGTTACGGTGTAAATAAAGTTGGAGTATTATTATTATATGCTCTCGGCCCTCACATTATTATTATTAATTATGCATTTAAATTGTCATTTAGCATCATAACTTTATTATAATATTATGTCTTTAAAATTTAAGTTCATAAAAATTATTAATGAAAGGTCGGCCAAAATGGTGCAGATTGGGTTTCAAGGTTTCGCAATCACCTACTGCTGGTAGAACGATATTTTATTAATACATTCTTGGAGGGCTACATTATAAGCTAATACTAGCCCATCATTAGTACATAATATTAAAAATGCTGCTATTAGACCACGATGTAGCCCCTCAAAAATACATTAATAAAATGGCGTTCTAACAACAGTTATAGTATAAGAAATATATTGTCAATCTGGGTTTATATTATTAGATATTTGATATTTTGTCAATATCAATTTGCAAATTGTGAAACTCAATTTTCAACATTTTGCAATTAATTTTCAGAATATTGACACTGGTGTAGAAGGTTACTGTTACGGATGTGTTAAACTGGAATTCAATGATATAAAATCATTGCATACCAAAATAAATTAAACATATTATTAACTTTTATTTCCGACGTTTCTTACTTTTAACATGAGATCAGATATATCATCCAGGGGTATATTGACCAGAGATGCATTTTTAAGAATATAATATAGAATCGTGTTATGCGGGAATTGCATCCTTGCAAGTGCCATCAAAGAATTTGTCCACTTAGTTCTCAAGTCAGAATCGTTGGAATGCTTACTGAAAACAAATAAAATAGACTACCTATTTCATCAAGTTATTTAGTATTCTCGTAGTCAGTACAAAAAAGTGAGCTACGCAATTAATGTTTTAAACTTAATATCATAATCATACCAATAACCATAATATATGAATTTTAGATTGAGTATGCAGCTTATTTATACTTCATAGTTCGTAGTATAGATACCTATTAGATAGGTACCTACATAATTCTAAATACAGATATGACTCCACACATGTGTCTATAATAGTCAATAACATCAAACATGATAATAATATGTATATTGAAAATTTTTTTTTTAACAATATACAATTTTTCAGAATCGTTGCATAAGCATACCAACTATTAACTACAGTATTATTATTATGTAACTAAATATTAAGTACAAGGTATACCTACCTAGTAAATATGTGCAATTTGCATCTCAGATACCTTTTACTAGTAATCAATATAGGTACCATATATTTCATAAATAAGAATTGTATATTTTTATCTAGTACCTTGTATCTAGTTTTTAACTTTTAGAATGTACCTATTGATTTTACAATGACTAAGTTTTTTATGTGTCCGTCGTCACTTTTTGGAGAAATAAAAATGCTTAGATTTTCTACTTCAGCATCTTTTTTGGTTTGAAAGTGAGTCAAGTTAGAACTTTGTTGGATTAAAAGTAAAAAATCAGGTAAGTTTATGTAGCTCTGCTGTACGTATAGTCTGTTCAAAATGAGATCGGTACGAGGAGGCGATCAGTTTTCATCGGCGGCAGGCCACTTGTTGATTCAACTTGTCGATTCAACTTGTCGTGTTCTCTCGAGACTCTTCGGTCGCCGCCCGTGCTTTCGGAGTACTTGGTATATGTGCATTGTGCGTACGTGCGTCGTGCGTCCCTACCAGGTATACACAAAAAATAGGTAAATGAATATTGGGTATTTGAAATGAATAGCCCCAAGGAATGTATGTCCCGTGACCCGTATTACGACCATAATATGTATCAATAAACATTGATAAAATAAAATAAATAAAATGTATTTTTAACGAATTCAATGCATTATTGTGCTTCACTCTCTGTGTTGACGTCTCGTGTTACGCTCCGTCCTTTTATCTGTGATTTTTGTTCCTTTTTGTACGTTTTTTAACGCTTTATTTTAACTAATTTACCACAAGTGATCGTGTGGATATGATGTCTGAAGTGGACAATGTGGAGGAAACTATTTCTCCAAAAAGAAGAAATGTTCAAGGAAAAGTGAGTAAAATGTTATGAATTCTAATATACTGGTAGTGGTTTGGTTAAGTTAACCGCCGTCACTTGTACCGTAAATGTAAATACGTACTTTAAAAGATGACATAGGTATAAAACACTGACTACTTAAGTATCTATTTTTTGGTGGAAATTTAGTCTTCAGATGACCATGATTATTAATATGTACAAAGACATTAAATTAAGACCTCCAGATATATCAATAAAGCTAATGGTTAATGAAATTTCGAAAACGGTGGGTATGGGTCGTACTTCTATCAATTCAATTATTACTGAATACAAAACAACTGGAACTGTTACGTCTCCAAATAAAACACGTTGTAAAAAGTGTTTATTTGACAAATGAGACGATTTAGATCGGAATGCGCTGCGTCAGAAAGTTCATTCCTTTTGGTTGAAAAAAAATTACCGACTATCGATAAAACTTTACAAGCTGTCTTGGGCGCCACGAGGGGGGTGCAAAGGGCGTGCCTGGAAATAACCTTTTCAGGGGGGGGGAGGTGTCAAATACCACGGACCACCCGTACCGATCTCATTTTGAACAGACTATAGGTTATAAGTAGGGCCCGGATTTAAATGCACTTAAAACTATACAGATATGCTCTAAAAAATAGCCAAAAATGCCCTTAAAAAATGCATTTTACCACAAAAATGACCTTAAAAATGCCATATATTTTTTTTATATACAAATTGTAATTTATAAATGAGACATAATAATTATTTTATTAAAAAAAAACTGAAAATTTTAAATATTGACTGATATGATGTCGACATGCATGTTTTGGCCGTTTTAGAGGAAATATTATTCATTCTAAACATCTACAGTCAATAATAGATTAAGATAAGATAAAAACTAAATCGAAAAAAAAAATGACAATTTGTATAGGAAAACCCGATAAACCTTCTTAAATATCAAGAAAATAATTTATCTTTAGATATTTTTTTGAATATTCCAAGTTTTATATCTATTTTGAACAAATATGCATTAAAAACCAACAAAATGACCCAATAATGCTAAAAATGCTCTAAAAATGAAAAAACGTCGAAATATGCAAAAAAATGCAAAATAAAATTTGTAGCTTTCAAACCCTCGTTACATGGAACGAATTATGTACTTAGAAAGCATTGTATATGATCAACCAAAAAAATATGCACTTTGCATTGAAATCCGGGCCCTATAGTTATAAGTGTATCACTCTGTAATGAATAGTATTAAATATAATTCTATTATTTTACATCATTGTATGCGAAAAACAATTCTGAGTGAAGATGGTCTGTCAGCCTATAATATTAATTTTTAACTTAGTATATTTAATGATATTATTGTGCTTTAAGTAATTTATTTAATTTATCTTAAATAATACAATTTTTTTTACAGTTTTGAACCAACGACGCCGCGGAAACTGCTTTCGCAATGCTTCCGCGAATATTTTAAATTATTATAAAATAACTTTAACCATAATTCTTGGTTATTTAATAATATTTTATTTCGTTCAAATTTGAACATAAAATAACTATACAAAAAAATTGTGTTAGAATACTTTTTTTTAGATTTATTGGTTACCAAATTGACTATTTATGTACAACTTTGATTTAAATATTTGCTGTAAAAGTTTAACATTTATAAATATTTAACTACAGAATAAATTGTACATTTTAATTTCATACATTTTGTCAAAATTTGAACTTTAAATCTATACTATTATATGAAATTATAAGGGGTTTTCCACGACCACGCTAACCGAGAAAACTACTGAACCGAACTGAACTGTTATACCCGACACTCTGTTGAAGGTTTTAGTACCATTTTTGTCAATAAAAAATAAGTGTAAAGGTATTATTAATTAAAATAAACGTGTAAATTGTATACCTATACCTTTTAAGTAAGAAATAGTTGCTGGCTGAAAATAAATAACAATCAAACTCCACAACCACAGATGCTTCTAGGCTGGTCGGTATCGACGTGGAATACTAAACAATTATTATAAGTATTTACCTCAGCAAAAAACATGGTGTTACATTAGATTAGTTATTGGTTAAAAATAACTAATAACTAATCGAATTTTCACAAATTACTTGCTAAGATGGTTAAGTTGCACTTATAGCCGCTCATCGGCGTATCCACAGTCAAAATAAAAAGTAAAATAAAAATAAAAAATATTATTCATATAAAGTATTTATCTAGCTTGAGGTGCGATAATAAAAGTATAATATAAATAATATAATATATAATATGATATCCCATCAATGTAATAGGTAGCGCTTGAATAGCTAATAATGTTTAGAGCTTCGTACGTTAAATCTATTAAATAAAAAAGTTGCAATAAGCATCAATTTTTCTATTGACACAAGCGATATAATTTTTTTTCAACATTATATGAAGAATCCTTGGTGGTGACGCTAAATTTATATGGCTACATTACCACGGAAACGTGACTAAAAGTGGTCTAAAATAAAAATAATTATTTAAAATCCAGAAAATAAATAGCAAATTAATATCTGAGAAATCTTGCAATAGCAAAGCATTGCTGGGTCAGTTTTATATGAAACAAAATCGTGAGTTTGTATTTTCAATAGTTTTCAACTGCTATTGTTACAATATATCAGGAGATATGTTGTCGAAGAAAATCGAAGCATTTTTAATGGCCCAAAATGTGAAGACACACACAAAAAAAACAACTCAGTCGCTCCGCTCAGTATCTTCATAGTAGTTTTCAAAAGCGTCAAGAAAAATTAAAAAAAAAAAAAATTAAGGAAAACCTTGGATTTCGACAAAATTGATTTTTAGTTTAAGCCTTTAAAAATTAAATTTTCAAGGAATATTATAGTATAAAAATTTTCTTTTATAAAATATTATAGTATTTTCTCCCATAATTGAGCTATTTTTAGGCAAGCCTGGGCAAGTTAATGATAATTTTTGACGAGTTAAGTTAAATTGATAGAAAACATTTAAAAACATTTAAAGTTAATGGTTATCATTTTTTTTTAACTCAGTTAAGTTAAAAGTTATTTGAGAACTTATAATTAACCCAACTTAGGTTAAGTTATTTATTTTTTAAATATATATAAGCAGCTAGTTATATGGTATAAAATAATAAAAAGTAAATGTTTATATACCTTACCTATCATCAATAATAATTGTATTATATTTACTATTTAATTATTTACCTATAAATGAACGAAATTGGATTTGATTAAAAGTAACTCGTTTTATTTTATTAAGTTTATATCAATAAAAATCAGTTAAGTTAAATATTAAGTTAATGAGAATAAATATTAAAATATTAAAATGAATTTTTAACTTAACTTCAACTTTTTAACTCGTTTCTCGCCAGGCTTATTTTTAGACATAAGAATATATTCTCGTGTCAAAAGCTTGCAAATTTAATGCAATTTTCTCATAAGTTATTGTTAGTAAAAGATTTTTTTTTTAAAAGTTCCGATGATATTTTCTTACGAGCTTCTGAAGTTAGAATATGTTAACTGAATTCCCTCAAATCACGAAAATTTGCAAATTATTTTGAGTTAGAAATTCATAAAGTATTGTGTATGTTTATCTAAGATCTGAAAATTGAATACGAAATTCCCAATTAGTTTCCCTACATTTAACAAAAAAAAAAGTTTACCAGGAACTCATATACATTTTTTATGAACATTTGAATATAGACATTGAATATTCAGCCTTAAATTGATGAATTATCTTATAGAACAATTTTCTTATTTTGTTGAAATTTAAAAACTATTAACCGTAGTTACATGAAATTTTCACCAAATGTTTATTTCATCATTTTTTATACATGATATTTGACTAGTTTTGAGAAATGTATGAACATATTTGCAATTTTCAATTTTTTTTTATGATTGATTATAATATTTTATTCCCCGGGTAATTGAGTTAAAAATCTTGACAATTTAATACAAGGTTCTCATACATTTTTATAGTAGTATTTGAGATATATTCAAGATCCATCGATACTATTTTTTTTTATAAGTATTAAAATTCAAGATTTCACAAAATTTATCAAAATCTTAAAATTGTTTGGAAAATGTATAAAATGTTAAATTTTTATAGCCAAGGATTGAAAATTAAATACAACGATTCTCGTAAATAGTTCATATTGAATGTAACGAAAAATCAGTAAATACTATATTATTGTGTCTATTATTATATTTCATACACATAAATACATAATAACACTTTCAAATGCAAATGATTCGGGAAGCATTAATTTAACCTTCTGTAGAACCTACCAATGCCAACTAAATGCCTTAAATAACTTTAATTGGAACGATATAAAATATACTTAATATACTTTGCTAACAGCTGACAGATCGTCTTCGCTTAGAATAGTATTTTGTATACAACGATTTCATATCATTGAGTTCAAGTTTAACATATCCATTTCAGCGACTCCTCTATAGTCTAAACATCTAAACCTAATACCTTAATGACTTAATGTAGGTACATTTTTATTTTGTTGTTAAGATACAATAAATCAGATACATAGGTAATAGGCATGTACTTATAATATTTCAAAATGTTTTAGTTTATGCATATTTGTGTTATATTTGTGCATAATTTATTTTTGCTTTATAATTTGGTGTTGCTTATTTGTTCCAAAAATTTAATTTTTATACTTTAAGTTCTAATTACTTCTTAACACATCTTTACAAATATACAGAAGGCAAACCTACGATGTAAGATATCGGCTTATCATCAAAAAAAATATTATTACCTACGTATTGCAATAATGCTATACCTATTATCGTATAATGTATTTTATAAATTTAGGTAGATACCTAACTATACGTTTATATAATAATAAATTAAAACTAACATTTCTGTACCCAAGTATTAGTCAATAATTACCTAGTTAAACTTTTTTTTATAACATAGTGAATCATCGACAGTCAAGGTCTATCTACTGATGTTTATATAAAGAGATATAAAATATAAAGAATGTTTAATGTTTATTGGTAACCATGGAAATTCAGAAGCATACAAATGGCATACACTGGGTGATCCATTTAATGTAAGACACTCATTTTCGTCATCTTCATTCTCGAAAACATTTATTTTACGTAATTCTTAGTCCTTAGACCTATGTCATACTCACTAGGAACTAAACAACATTTTTGGAAAGTATTTTTATCAATAACATTTTTTAAAGTTCTTTCCTGTTTTGAACTATAACATAAGGACATTTTCAATTTTATGTTCCAAAGCAAAATATTATTCAGAGTAGGTATTTCAATCTATATCAAATTTTGAACAAGGGGGTAATATTAGTTTAAGTATTTTGTCTAAATTAAGGGAAAAGCGGACCAACATTTTGAGGTTTGCCTAAGCTCAACTTTAAATACGTATTAGTGATTGCTCTTAAGCTACTCGTCTAAAACACATTTTTTATAAATTTAATTACCCTACAAAATGTTTTAGGGAATCATTAATTCATATTTTCATAAAAAAGTTAAAAATTAAAAAATAATACCTAATGTAAAACATATCATATAGGTATATATACATATATATTTTAGGTTGAGATGGACACTACTTTTTAATAACTCAAAATTCCTTTTTAAAAGTATTTTCATAACCTATTAATGTTTTTTGAAATAATGTATTTCGTTAAATGAATCACCTAGCACCCTTATGGAAAATGAAAATGTATTAGTTTAATATTATTCAATTGATTATAAGTGGAAAGAATTAAAATTTTAAAATTAAAATATTCATCATGATATTTTAAGTATAATAATATGTATAAAATTAATTTAATGTTTAACAAAACAATTGCCTTTGAAATATAAATTATGAATTGAATATTCATAATTTGGTATAGTTTAAGATGCTTACAAGAAATTTGTCTAATTACTATAATTTCAAAAAATAAATGGGTACAATACAGAGATTTATCTGAGATTGGCAATTGAAAATCATAGGTACTAGTAGTTAGCCTATGAAATAAATAACTATGAGTTGAGCTCAGTCTGCAGGTGTACCTACCTTACATGCTGTTTTTTCAACATTATTGGGTGATTTTTTTACACATAATGCCATTTCTTTGAAAATCAAAAACTACTTTTAAAAATATACAAATAAGATCAAGATATTTTTAGATACATGAAGATATAAAACTATACTACTATACTAGAGGCTCCTTTTTTCCAAACCAATAGATACACTATACAATTTCATCTATTTAAATGATTTTGATATATAGTTTTTCCTCAATCCTGATTTACAGTTTTATTTGAACAGCTGAAATAAACTATTATCCACCTTTATTTGATAAACAAAATTTCTATTTTACATATTTCTAGAAAAATCAAACTAAATTAATTGTATATACTTAAGCACTAATTTGAGAGCCTTTGAATATATGATTTTGCTGATGGGACAAATAGTAACTGCAGGAAAATCAATCTTGGTGAGTGGATAACGAGGGTCATCAACAGCAATTTCCATTGAAGAGTAAGAATATTTCTCCCAAGACGCCGAAACCAAAATCACTATAGATATGCTGGCGACAATCAACAACAGTATCCACATAAATCTGTATGTACAATTTTAAATCATTTTAAACCCTCAAAAATATTAGTTAAATATTAAATCAGTCACATCAGTTTGATACCTATTAAGTGGTTTCTCGTCATTCTGGATAACATGCCTCAGCCCATGTATTGAACCGTTTTCACAGTAGTCAACCCAAATAGATTTTAGAGTCATGATTCATTACAATATTGTAACGTTGTTATATAATATTAGGTATACATTATTTTAGCTGAATTTAAAAATGGATTATAAACATTAGACACTAGACAAGTGTTAAATGTTACTGGGGTTCAAACAAAATATAAATGTGGAATATCAATAATTAAATATTTATTAAAGGGGTGTAGGGAAAGATGACATATTTTGATAAGGAATGAAAACAGTTTATAATTCAAAGAAAAGGGCACTATTGAAAAAAAAAACGATTATATATTGTAATATGTATATAAAAAGAGTATGCAAACATAATTTTTAATTATATTTAGATTGCATTAACTATGAAAACTATGGCCAATATTGCAGAATTTAATTTATACTGCACTTCAAAGAACTATTGTCGTTACCAGACAAATGTATGGTTGGTGATTTCACCTAGATTGGTATTTTTAGGAAATGTTCACACACTAAAAGTGCATGAATATATTAAATATAATATAAGCTAACATTCAAATATTCTATGAGTTTTACCTACATCTTAATCGTGTAAAAAAATTTGAATTCCCCCCCCCCTCTTATTCCAAATTCCTGAGCATTCCACTGAAAGCCATGCACATAATAGACCAGCAGCAGACTGCTGCAGCTTATACCACAGCTGCTTATACAGTTATACCGCGTAAAGACATTACACGGTATATGGTGGTATGCACTATATGCACACAATTTTTTGTGAGTTGGTACAACGTTCGTCTCTAGAGTCTAGAGTTGCGCTGGTTCGGACTTCGGGCGCCTCAGCTCAGCCATGGACAAGACGTATGCTCAGCTACTGCAACTTCGACCTCACCTGTCACTTGCTTACTCTTTGCACGCCCGTCGCTTCATCGTGTTCCGATAATATTCGTTACTGTGTTTTTGATAACAGTTTTACGTAAACAGTAAAAGAACAGAATCGACTATCGAGTGTACTTTCCAGTTTTCAAGTCGCAACGAACTACGTTTATACGCATTACGCATTACGCATAGACAATATTTTACGTCTTGTAATACACTAATACGTGCCCACATTCCAGTGTGTCGGCGCTGTCGCCGGGCTCCTTCGGTAACGAATATTATTTAAATAAATGTCATTATCGCTGTCTACCGATTAGAAAATCACATAATTCTATCGTCCGGTCACCTGCAAGTCGCAAGTCTACTATACATGTATTTATCATAAATAGTAACTTTTTCAGACTGAAATTTATTGAACTTGTATTGTGTGAAATAAACTAAATGTTTGAATAGCGATTATATTAAAGTAATTATATACCTATAGTATACACTAAAAAATTAAAACAATCTATATACTCTTAGTTACACAGATTATATTGTTTATATTGAGTTATGTATGTACTAATATATTTGATTTATTTAATATAGGTAATAATTTTGTGAATTTTAACCTACGTATGTACTTTATATTATGTAAAATACAAAGGTACTTAAACTAAAAGTGTCTAAATTTTGTGAGTTAAGTGTCTCCTCAGTTCATCCTTGTAAGATGTAATCACTTCATTCTGATAGTGTGTTCTTACTTCATCCTATCAAGACATCCAAAGGATATAAAAGAAGGACATCTGGACTTTCTATGAATATCCTCTGGCAGTCCTGAGGATAGTCCTGACCTAGAGCCATTAAAGTACATGCTATGGACATTAATTTGCTGTGTGGATTTATTTTTAATAATTAATAATATTCACACCCTTGCATCAATCTATCTAGTCCACCACTGCCAGTACTAGTT